AATTTGTTGCAACAAATGGAGATTCCAAAATTTGTTCTGAGGTAGGTCTTTGATTTGGATCTTTCATTAAACAACTTTCTACCAATTTGACTAGATCAGGAGACCAAGAATCACGTTCTTTTAATGGTGGAATACCTTTGGTAGTAATTAAGAACAATGCCCTTAGAGGTGGTAATTCCATATAAGGTGGATCACCTTCAGTCATTTCCATTATCATAATTCCTATAGACCAAATATCTGCTTTTGCATCATATAATTTGTTTCTAATAACTTCTGGTGCCATCCAATAAGGTGTTCCTACAATAGAATTCCTCTTATCTCTTTGAGAAGTTAATTGTGCTGCATATCCAAAATCACCTATTTTTACACTTCCATCAGATGAAATTAAAATATTATCCGATTTAATGTCTCTATGAATTTTGTGTCGTTGATGTAAATATAATAATCCTTTCATTACTTCTCTAAGAACATAAGCCATTTGGGGTTCTGTCATTTTGAATCCATTTTCATATTCTGTTAATACTTCTGTTAAACAGCCAGAATCCATAAATTCCATAACAACCCAAACATACCCTTCTTCAAGGTAAGACCCAAAGAAAGAAACAATATTAGGATGTTTACAATTTTTCATAATTTCTATTTCATTAATTAAACTTTTTTCATTTTTCGATGTAATAATACATTTCTTTAATGCCATATCTTTTCCAGTTTGTTTATTTTGTGCAACAAATACTTCTCCAGCAGCACCTTCTCCAATTTTACTAAAGTTTTCATAAAAATCTTCTGGTAATCCTTCTTCTGCTAAATCTTCTAATGTTAAATCACTTTCTTTTTCTGGCAATACTTCTTCTGGATTTTGAATGTCTGGCATTTCAGCTGTGTCATCATCTTCTTCTTCAACATTTTGTTCCGATGTCTTAGATGGTAATATTTGATTTAAAATTTGTGGTTCAGTTTTCAAGTGGAATTTTAAAACATCTTCAAATGCAGCATTTTGTTCTTTATCTGTTTTGATTTCTTCAATTTCTTCTTTGATAAGACCTGACCCTTTAATAAATGCTTCCCATTGTGGTGGATATCCAGTGATTCCAGCTTTTTCATCATATGTCATATGAGTACCTTGTTGAACAGTAAGAACAGTTGTTTCTTCTTTCTTTTTACCAAACAACTTACTGAAAATTCCCTTTTTTTTCTTTTTTCCTGCTCCAGGAAGTGGGATCATCTCGATCGCCAAATCACTTTAAAAGTAAATTTCTTTTCATTACATTTCTGGTATTTTCTCAATCTCCTTTACTATCTCTTTGTATATTAACAAAAAAATTTGAA